AGTGGTTCCCCTCTGCCAGTCTCTGGCACCATTTCCCTTTCCCACTCTGTGTCAAAGTAAAGTACACGTCAGAGACGGACACACACTAGTAAACCCACGTTCACGGACACATACGCCCAGGTTGTCCAGAGCCTTTTTCGCTCCCTCCTGTGCCCTGTGGTGCCCTTCCTGCCTGGAGAGCAGACCCGCCACTGTGGCCTCACTTCTGAAGTGCCTCTGGTGGCACTCAGCCCTGGCCTGACCCCAGTACTCTGTCCATGGGGTTGGGGTAGGCCCAGGATCACTGAGGGGGCTGTTCAGATTTAGAAGCAGATGTGGGTGCACCAAGAGTGATGAGTGCTCCGGGTCTGGAAGTATCTCCAAGGTGGGTTTGATGCTGACTCACAATGAGTAGAACCTCCCCAGAGGGTCGCCGAGGGTTTGTCTTTAGGGGAGCAGCCAGCCTTATCTTTACGCACAGAACAACACCAGGGTTCAAACCATGTACCTAGAAGTTGGCAGCTACTGTGCCACCAAGCTGCTTTGACTCAAGACTGACACTGATATGATGGTCTCTGTGGGATCTTGTGAGTGTGACAGAAGTGCCTCTTTCAAAGAAGTCCTTGAGATGTAGATGCATGCTGGCCTGGCTTGGGGGTGTGTCCTCAAACTCAGTTCCATTGCTAGGATTGCTTATCTGTGCATATGTGTGTTTAAGGCAAGTCTGCCCTTAGCACCTTCAAGTGATGGAACCTAGCGTGTCAGATCAGCTAGCTGTACCTCGCCGAGAAAAATGCCAACAACTTCACTACCCACCTCTTGAATTCATAAGTGTGGCTTGGCTACAGTTGGCTTCCATGTGCCAACGAGCAAGGTTCCCAGCCTAAGATTGCCTTCCTTAGCCTCTGATTTAAGTCTAGCTGATAACTTTTCTTACTGTTTTCCTCCTTCAAACCAGGAGGTGCTTTCTGCTGGGCAGCGGCTGCGCAGATCCTTTCCCCACCCTCCCTCTTAGCAGACAGGGCCCAGCCTGCCGCTTGCTGCCCTTAGTGGTGACAGTGCCAGCCCCAGTGCCTTTGTCCTGCTGTGGCTGGCACCTTACCCGCCCTCTGAGGAGGACACTGCAGCCCCACCCCCTTCACCATCCCCCCTTCAGCAGCTGTCCCCCTGCCAGGTGCCTTTGTTTCCTGGAGCAGAGGACACAAACAGGGCTCCTGTGTGCCCCTTCCGTGGAGAGTGCTGTAGAGTGCTGTCGGTTTTAAGCCCCTCCAACCATGAGGGATTACAGATGAGCCTGCTGTCCAGGGCCGGTGGGGCAGCCTGGGCCAATCACTGTGGAAAAGGCAGTGTCAGTAGGTCTGGCTCTGGTCTAAACTGCATTTGGAAATCCTTCCAGATGTTCTGAAGAGCTGCAGATGGGTTCTGTGTGTGTACTCTGCTGAGCTAGACATGCTCGGAGGGACGGCTGGCAGGGCAGGGGACAGTTCTGTAGCTCTTCACGCGTTGCTGCAAAGTGACTCATCACTTTAAAAGTGGTGCCATCTTTGCTTTCTGGAAATGTCCCAGTCAGAGCCTCTGGGATATCCCACAGGTCTTTCTTTGTGTTTACCCTCCCTTGTGTTTGGGAATGCCAGTGAGTCCTGGAGATGGCCCATCAGCCCGTTTTGATTCCTTGGGTTTACCAGCCCTCAAGGCCGGAGACGGTCACACCCTAGATCCAGGACTTGCCTGCACTCGGTCTGTGGCATGGCCTCTTCTCTGGGCCAGTGCTGTCCAGTAGAAGTGTGGACCCCGTGGAATGTTGCATCTTCTAGGAGCCATGTTTAAAAGCAGCAAAAGAATCAGGTGGGCTTAATTTTAACATGTTTTATTCCCCCTGCTTCCCATATGTGAAGTATTATTGCCACGTATGGTTTATATTAACAACAGATAATTTGTTTCTTTATTTGTGAAAGTATTAAAGTCTTTGAAATCCAATGTATATTTACATGTAGGGCAAGTCTCAATCTGGACGGGCCATATTTCAAATGCCTCAACTGTCACTCCCCCTTCCCTCTTCCCCCTTCCCGCCCCGTAAATGGAGACCTGTAAGAGGCTAAATTTGGATTGAACCCTGGGCTCACACTCCTGTGGCTGGATCCAGGTTCTGCTGCGTCTTGGGCACACCAGCAGGCCCCTCTGCATCTCAGTTTCATCGTCATACCTTTCTCCTTGGGTTGGAGTGGCATTAGGTGGATTTGATCTGTGTAGGAAGCACTTAGAACCAGAATTTCAGCAAATTTTATAAAAAACTATTAACTGTTCTCCAAGCTGTGGTAGCACTGGTGCTCTTTCCTTGAGGTCCTCTAGAAACGGGGCTGTGCCTTTTGAGGACCTAAAACCCTGTCTTTTGTGTGAAGCTTGTTGACCTTTTCCCCCATTCTATTTGTGTTCTGAGGGATACCCAGGCTCCCTGTGCCACAAACATTGATTATATGGCCTGGCACTGGGTGCACTTCACTTTCTGTCATATCTACATTGATTTGTTTTGGGGGTAGAGGGTGTGCCTGCCTGTCCCTAGCCAGGTTGGACAGTGACATCATTGGAAACCATCATCTACTTGTTACTGATTGAGTTTATCCTGTCCCATCAAGAGGCCTGCTGACCCTACCTTAGGAAGTATTGCCCTCACCAGAATACGTTCCACTGCCTAAACCAAAGGCACTCACTGAGTTGGCCTTCTTGGACCAGGTTAAAACTCTTCTTCGCCTTACTTGGCATCCAGCTTTTAGACCAGCGAGGGGGGTTTGAGAATCTTACCAGAGCACCCCAGTAGACAGGAGGCAGGTCTATCTCAGCCCAACACACAGGAACTAAAAAGGTGTGGGTATGTTTGGTGCCAAGGGGTGCCAATGGGTTAAGCAGTAGCCCCGTTACTGCTATCCGAAGTAAGGGCTCTCTTAGGGAAGAGAAGGCTTCTCCTGGTCCAGTTTCCTGAGTGTTCGGGATACTCCATCAGGACACTGGGTGGGATTAACCTGCTTTTCCATGCACCCAAACTTCTCGGGTAATAACTAAAGGAGGTGGGCTTTTTTGGTACTCTTGCATGTTTCCATTCTTTTCCTTCCAAATCTTGTAATTTGGGACGTCAATCTCATACAAGACCCTGAGTGGCACTTTTAGGTTGTATCTTTAAAATTAGTGTTTTTCTCTAATACAGTATTGGCCTCAATACTTTCTGGGGAGTGGAGAACACTGACCTCCAGGCTGCTCTAGAATACAGTACCATCACACACACACCCAAGGGGGGAAATACAATTCCATTTTACTGTTAGATCTTTTCTGTTATCGAGAAGGGAAGTAGTCAGAGGTTTTTATGCTTTTATAGATCACCCGGAAATTTGCTTGGGCTACTCCCCAAGTATCTCAACTAATTCCAACCTTACCAGCTGTTCTGATAGCTGAAAGGGAATTTGACCCAGAAAACCCAGACAGTTACTCCAAAGGCACCCCTAGAGACCCAGTTTAGAGAAGATGAAAAGCCCCAGAGCCTGCCTCCCCCCCCCACCCCCCCACCCCACTGCTTGACCCATTGTCCTTGCCTGCCTGGTTATCCCCCTCAATTGGAGGGGCTACTCCTACCCCACCCTATGCCCTTTACAGGACGTGGTCAGAGGCAACAGCCAAGTGTTCCGGATTCATGTACCCTTTAGCATGTAAGAGATAAAAGTGTGTAAAGATAAGTTGGGCCCCTTCATAGACTCTGGTCGGTATATGGAAGTTCCAGGACTCTATGGCTATCTTTGATATGACCTGGAAAGAGTTAATGACCATCCTGGCATACACTTGCTCTCCTGATGAAAGACGCAGAATACTTACTGTGGCTCGTCACCAGGCTGACAAAATGAGGGTCATCATTTTGGCTCAGGGGGCCCAGGCAGTGTTTGATGATGACCCTGGATGGAATTACCAACTAGGCCAGACTGACAGTGCTGGTCGAGCAACTCAGGATTATCTGCAGACTTACCTTATTGGGGGAGTGAGGTAAATTCAGATAAAGCTGGTAAACTATTCCACACTGTCCGAGCTAAACCACTCACCAGGAAAACTCGGCTGCTTTCAAAAACCAGCTGGCTGAGGCTATGACTAAGTTCACAAACTTACACTTGGAGTCTCCTGAGAAAAGGATAGTTTTAAACACCCATTTCATCAACAAGTCTTCACCAGATATCAGGTGAAAAAACACCAGAGAAAAGCGCTGGGAACGGAGTCAGAGCCAAATGAACTGCTTACCCTGACCACCTCAGTCGTGGTTTTGAGGCAGAGAGGAGTGTCATATAAGGCCAAAATGATTGGAGCAGCCATTGCTGCATCAGCCCAGCTGTCAGAAGTGACCAGTGCTCACAGACCTGGAAAGTGCTGCTTCCTGTGTGGTAATCCAGGACATTGGAGCCAGGTGTGCTGCCAGCCCTTTAGAGACCTGGTGGGCACAGAGAGGATTGAAGGGCCCCTCTCACTTGTTTTAAGTTCGGAACTCTGGGACACATGCCAAAAGAATGCTCTTCCATAGACCTTCTGGCTGAGGAACAGTTCCAATGACCAACCAGCAGGAAGTTGACATCCTCATAGAGGAGCTGTGAGTCTTAGAGGTTGCTGGTAAAGCTTTTTCCTCCTTGATGTTGGAGTCACTTATTTGGCACTAAGAGCCTATGCAGGCCATCTTACCTCTGCATCACGTGATTGTGATTGTTGGGATAAACAGCCTGCCCCTGAAGAGGTATCTTGTGGGATTATAGAGACTTTTCTCCAGCTTTGTCGCCCCCAAAGACATGCCAAACATTTGGGGCTTTTTGCCAGCATATGGTGGGAGGTCAGATGCTTATAGACATCCCTCCCCCCCCTTGAAGGCATTCAATTGCCAGACAGATAGGCCCCGCTCCCTGCTGTTAAGGACAATGGGCTACTCCCTTAAGGCTTGAGACCATTAGCTTGGTTCCTGTAGGTGGGGTTCACACCCTACTGATAATGGTGTCTGGAGATCCAAAGAAAGGTCATACCAGCTCATTGACATCCAAATCTAGGATCCACCCATTTTGTCACATGTATACCCCCAATCCCTCCTTTTCCTATTGCAAGTACATCCCTAGGTTGTCCCCCTCTCATTGTTGTATAACCAACCTACAGTGCAACCCCTTCCTGTGACGTATGTCTACCAGTAATTAGTGGGCTTGCACTCCGCCCAAAGGTATATAGGCCTGGGTTAGCAATAGAGAGCTCTCTTTCTGATCCTCCATGGGCCTCTTGGAGGTTCCCCCTCTCCTCTCCCATCCTCTCTCCCCTGTTCCCTTTCCCCTTGTCCTCCTTCCCCTCCCCCTCTCTCCATGTGGACCATCAAGCGGGTCTGAGGTGAGCATTGCTACCATGAAATGTGTCTGATTCCATTATTTTAATCTCTCTTCTCTCTCTCATGCTCTCAATGACTAATAGAATATACATATATCTCAACCGGACAATTGTGCCTATCGAACCCGTGATTAGTGGTGGGGGCTGGCACCCCTCCAACCACAGTGTCTCACCTCAGTCTTGCCTTGCATGTGGAGAGGGTCCTTTTCTTACATGGATTCTCCTTCCCCCTTGTTAGACCAAGATTTGCTGGCCTTTTCCAGCTCACTCCTATGTTCTCCCTGATGGTTGTGCAGTCTCTGCGCCTAGACCCGAGTCGAGAGACGATGACCCGAAGGTCTGGCCGATAGTTTGCTGGGAATAGCACTGTGTTGCTGGTATTACTTTGAAAATTGAGTAGGATATCCATAAAGAAAGTAGCGCAGTCTCTCCCCAGGGGCCTGTGAGCCCTTAAACCTATTGTAGACTCTTTGCTTCAGAACAAACACGTTGTTACTCAGGAGAGCCTTACCTGAAAACCGAATAGAAAGCGGTGCCTAGTACAAGACTTAAGGGGTGTTAGTGAAGTAGTTCTCCCACTGCACCTAATGGTACCAAACCCGGTTACCCCTTATGGCTCAGGTTCCCATTTCAGCCTCTTATTCACTGTGCTAGATTTAAAGGATGCCATTTAAAACTATCCTTTTGCACTCAAAAAGTCCCAACCACTGTTTGCATGTAAGTGGATTGACCCAGACACCCAACCAAACCCAACAGCTCCAAGGGACTGTCTGGACGTCAGAGACAGCCCTCTGTTACTTCGGACCATTCTAAGAGAGGTGGGAAAGCCTGACTTTCCATCAGGACAGTACACCCTCCTCCAGTACACAGGCGATTTGTAACTATGCAGCTCCTCATATGAAACTTCAGTTTCTGATGCCAAACGGACCTTCCTTGCCCAGGACAAGAGGGCTTTAAAGTCTCTCTAAGAGAGTCCAGCTTTTTCTGCCACAGGTCTGCTTGCTGGGGTTTATTCTGTCTCAAAACAGGTACCAACTCTCTTCACAAAAGGACCGGCCGTATTTGCTCTATTCCCTTGCCAGCCACCAGGAAACAATGTGGGAATTCCTGGGAATGGCAGAATACTACAGAATTTGGATCATTTACTGTCTTTTAAAAGGAGAAGAGGTATACGGGATTACATGGGCTCCAGAGGCAGAGGCAGCCTTTCAGTCCCTGGGGGCAGCCTTATCTCTGCCCCGGCCTTAGGGATAGAGAGTAGTAGCCTTAGGAGTACTGGTTCAAAGGCCTGGAGCTTGAAAAAACAACCAACTGCCTACAGTTCAAAACCCTAGACCCTGTGGCCCTGGTGTGACCTCATTGCCTTCGAGGAATAGCTGCAACTGCCTTGTTAGCAAAAGATACTTAGTAAGTCCCCCTCGGCCAGAGAACCATCATCCGGACCTCATTCATTAAAGCCCTTG